AACTGTTGGCTTCAGTCTGTGGTGGGAGCCAGTGGTCCTTTTTTTTGGGGGGGGGGTCCCCATTCTGTCATTGGATAACTGAACGCCTCTCAGATTTCTGCCATTTGCCAATCTGACGAATTGACTATCTATGTCTTTATTCAAGCCACAGATCTAAATGCTGGACAGGGATGGAGGAGCCCTCCCCTCTGTGATATCATCTCTTTGCCTTCCTCGCTCTCCATCATCTTCTCCTGCTGGTTTGGAATCCCCCTGGCTGAGCTCTCATTGGACCCACACAGCCACATGTGGTCTAAAAAGACACTGTGGGAGGCGCCATCACTCACATTGCCACAGTCCTGGGATACTGTGTCTTTGGCATCCTTCTGGTCTGCTAGGCTAGTAATACTGGATGCTGTCCGGCTTGGAGGCAGACATTGCTGAGATATGATGGCCAGAAATGAGCCTAATCCTCCAGGTGTGGTCTGGGCAGAATAAAGAACAGGACTCTCGCCTCCCGTATCCTGAGTCCGGCCACCTCCTGACTCTACTATGCCTCTCTTAATCTAGACTTTTTCTCTCCCTGGCTGGACCAGTAGAGGGAACTACCTGTGGGGAGATGAAACTTAGAACCTTGGAGAGATGCCTAGAACACTGAGGAATTAAGTGATTTATCCAGGGTCATGCAGCCAGGATGCTTTAGAGACCCAAATCATTCCAATTCCAAAGCCAGCCCCGCAGCCACTACCCCAGACTGCCTCTAACCAAAAATTAGGCCAGCTTTTTGGGCTTGCTGTCCACTAAGACCCCCAGACCTTTTACATGGGGACTGTTGTTTAGCCCCATCTCCTCTATCCTACCTGTTGTTCAGTTGTTTCAATCATGTCTGACTCTTTGTGACCCCATTTGGGGTTTTCTTGGCAGAGATACTGGAAGGGTTTGCCATTTTCTTCTCCATCTCATTTTACAGATGAGGAAACTGAGGCAAACAGGGTGAAGTGACTTGCCTAGGGTCACACAGCTAGTAAATGTCTGAGGCTGAATTTGAGCTCAGGAAGATGAGTCTTCCTGACTTCAGGCCTGGCATTCTATGCACGATGGCGCCACCTTGCTGCCCCATCCTACCTGTACAATTGACTTTTTGAATCGAAGTGTAGGACTTTGCATTTGTACCTATTAAGTGTCATCTGAAAACAAGAAAAACAAAACCTCTTTTACAAATGTTATACACATTTTAAGCAAAACAAATTCCCTCAATGGCCATGTCCAAAAAAGCATGCCTCAGTCTGTCCCTTGAGTCCATCCTCTCGCTATCAGGAGGTGGGCAGCATTTTTCATCATAAGTCCTCTGGAGTTGTGGTTGGTTGTTGTGTTGATCAGAATCTTTCAAAGTTGTTGGTCTTAAAATATTGTTGTTATTGTATAAATTACTTTCCTGGTTCTGCTCACTTCTTTCTGCATCAGTTCATAATAAGTCTTCTCAAGCTTCTTTGAAACCATTTCCTTTGTCATTTCTTACAGCACAGTAGTATACGAAGGTAACTTCAAAGTCTGACCTCCTTCTTTCCACTCCTTCCTTTTTTCCTCCTCAGAACTTGCTCAGTCACATAAATGAGTAGGGTAGGGAGGGAGGGAGATGGATAGAGTATTTAGTAAGTGCTTACTACTTGCAACACACTGAGCTAAATAAGCACTGGGGATATGAACACCAACAAGCAAGACAGTCCCTCCCTCAAGGAGCTTCCACTGCAATGGAAGGAGACAACAAGTACAGCATGCTGGAAAAGGGGGTGGAGAGGCATAAACAGACAGCCCTGGGCTCTCCAGTGATGCATCAGAGGATCAGAACTTGAACCCAGGTCTTCGTGAATGTAAAGAGTTTTGGAACTATAAAGAGCTCTTACCATTATTATGAGCCATTAGACTACATATTGGACTGATGTCCAGTGAGAGAGCACTTGGTGTCAGAGGAGCTGGGTTCAAATCCTGCCTCTACCACTTACTTGTGTGACGTTGGGTAAATGGTTTAACTTCTTCAGATTTCAGCTTCCGAAAGAAAGATTGGATACTATGGCTTGTAATGCCCCGTTCAGCTCTAAATCTATGATCTAAGAATCTCCCCTCCTTCCCTAATCTATCATCAGGACCATAAGATTCACAGCTGGACGGGTCTTTGGAGACCATGTGGTCCAACCCCTCCCCCACCTCACCGCAGGTTTACAGAGGAAGAAAACAAAATGTAAAGTAGTTGAATGAAGTTACTCGCTCCCAAAGTTGTCATTATCTCTACCTTGGTGACCAGTTCCTCTTTCTTGGTCAGGGTCAGGTCCAAAATAGTAGCCTCCCTTACCGCTTCCTCCACCATTTGAAAAAAAAAAGATTGTCATGGTAACAGGTCAAAAATTCATCTCCAGCAGCAGCAATAGCTGTCCAGAGAGGTGAATTTCTCCATCCCTAATCCAGCCTGGTTCTGGGCCAGCCAGCTTTGTGGTTTAGGCATTATGGCGCCACTTAGGAAGTGCTAGAAAGTGGTCCCACTCAACTATACCTTACATCACCGGACCAGACACTTCACCGGGGCCAATCGGGGAAGTGCCCAGAAGATTTGAAGGTTGTATGGTTCCAGGGATCCCAGGGACCTGGAGAGGGAGGAGCCAAGATCCTAGAATTCTTTCTTAGGTTCTGAGAATCTCGGGTTCTGAAAGTCTAAGGTTTGTGGAGTCTAAGGTTTTGGAAGTCCAACATTCTGGGAATCTATCCGAGGTTCTAAGAGTTTAAGGTTCTGGGTGTCTTAAGATTCTCTGAGTCCATGATTCAAGGAGTCATTTTACTCTTCCAAAGTTTTAATTGTCTGCAGTTCTGAGATCTGATGTTTTGAGTCTTGAGATTCTAGGGGTCTGTCTCAAGTTCTAGGAGTCTAAGATTTTGGGGTCTATCTGAGGTTCTGAATGCCTTAAAGTTCTAAGAGTCCAAGGTTCTGAGAATAAGCTCTTCTGAGAGTTTTAGGTTCTAGCAGTCTAGTGTTTTGGGAGTTTATGAATGTGGGTAATAAGGTTTAGATAATTAGAAGTTGACCTGAGCTAGGTTCTGTGTTTTTTTGGGTGCTGGTTATAGCTTGCTGGAGCTGAAGGGTATGCTGGGCTGGAAAGAGAGGGGATTTCCAGTAGAGGGAGAGGGTCATTTGGGACTTGGACCCTTTCTTTCTCTGAACGACAAGTTAAAAACAAACCCCACTTTACCTTTGTAATGGGCTTCCAAGTATCACCCCTTGTCATCTGAGACTTCTACCACCACTCGTCCCTTTCCTGCCTCTCCTAAAGATGGGCTGGGCTGGGAAAGGGAGGTAGCATGAGAGGTGGGGTGGGGATCATTATCTTACTTTGAATTGTGCACCTAAAACATTTTGTATCTTGGATGAATCACCATTTTTCTGGTCTCTTTTGGCCCTCCCCACCTCTGCCTTTGGGAACTGCCCAGGGCCCTCCACTGCTGCCCTAGGGACCCCCTGGAAGATTGAGAGCAGTGCCCTCCCTCATCTAGAGTGTAAGCTCCTTGAAGTCGGGGATGGTTGGGGTTTTTGTCTTTGTGCCCCCATCTCCTAGCTAGGTGCCTCGCACAAAGAAGTTACCTTAAAAATGTTTGTTGAATTGAATTGAAAGGAAGGGGCAGGGAGAAAACTTTTAAAACATAAGAAAATAATGTAGTCTAGTTAGAGTATATATGCATAGAATCATGCTAAATGTAGTTTAGTTGAATTGATTAGATCAAATGAGAGACTGTATAAAGCACTTTGTAGATCTTATATTGCCAAATGAACAAATAAAAAATTATTTATTAAGCTTACTTTGTGCCAAGCAATCCATTAAACTGGGAAACACCTGAAAACAAGATCATTCCTGCCCTAAGGAAGCTTATATTCTAAGGGGGTAGAGATTATCTTTTGTGTGTCCCAGACCCTTTTGGCGATGTGGTGAGGCCTATAACCCCTGAAGGCACTATTACCCTAGGAAGGTCTGGCCTAGGGTCCTTGCAGGATGGCTGTGGAGAATGGAAAGGTATGGAGGGGAGGTTCACTGTGAGTTGGAGCGTTTCACCTTTTTGTGTGTCTGGGCCCCCTCTACAGTCAGCCATGGACCCTCAGAATCATGTTATTAAATGTATAACATAAATTACCTGAGTTACCAAGGAAACCAATTCTACTGAAAAACAGTCATCAAAATATTTGAAAAGCAATTTCATGGACCCCAGGGTCAGACCTCTGCTCTAGAGGAAGAATGGATAGGACTTGGTGGTGATGGGTTGGATGAGTATCAGATTCTAGCCTGACTTTTTGATCCTTAAGGATTGCACTTTTCACAGCTAGAAAGAAATGGAGAGATCATTTGGTCCTTCTAGTCAATTTTTTTTTACAAATGAGGAAACTGAGGCCCAGAGAGGGAAAGTGTTTTGCTTAAGGTAGTCCAGCTAGTAAGTAGGAGAATAATTCTGACACTGCTCTTTGGACTTCTCTGTCTGGTTCTTGCTGGGCCCTTTGACCTTCAACTTTCCGGTGATGCTATGAATATCTGCAGTGCAGCCCAGCCCAGCCCAGCCTACTCTTAGGGGTGGATCTTCTCCTGCCTCTGGTTCTCCCAGTCCTTAGGAAGACAAAGCCATGCCTAGGAGGGAGGAGGGAGGGAGTGGGGAGGCTGGCTCTGGCTAAAGTGGAAGGCAAAAGGGGGGGTGGGGCAGCCCTGGGGTGGTCAGGGGCTGGGCATCAGCCCTGGGAACTCTCTTTCCCGGCAACATAAGAGCCCACTGTGGGAAAATGAAAAGTCTGCCAGCCTTGGAGCAGGATGCTGTGGGGGATGGGGAGGACGAGAGGGGGCTAAAGACGGTGGAGATGGAGAACTTGGAAGAAGACCTTTGTACTGGGGTGGGGAGGAGAGAAGATCCTGGGAGTAGTCTGGCCGTGGGTTGGGGAAGGGAGAGGGCTAGAAATGAACAGGAGGTAGGAAGGGGTAACGTAGAAAGGGCAAAGATATAAGACATAAAATATAAAGACCTACGTTTGAATCCCAGTCCTGTTGCAGGCTCTGCTGTGTGACCTTGACCAACTCCCTTCAGTTTTCCAGAGCTTCAGTATCACCTGTGAATCAGGAAGACTGTTAAGCACTTGGTGGCATGTGCCTAGCACTGAGCTGGGGGCTGAGGATATAAGTGCAAAAAATGAAACATTCTAATGGGGGAAGACAGCAAGTAACAGAAATGTGATGAGGTTGTCCTGGGCGATACCCATGTCCCTTCTAGCCCTGAAAGCCTGTGAATCTTTAAAGTGCAAGTGGTGGTGGTGATGAGGACACATTTAGGAGCTAGAAGGAACCTGTCCTGAGGGCTGTTAGCCCCCCAACTTGGCTGTTTACTTACTACCTATGGGACATTTGCCAAATCAATTCCCCTCTCCAGGCCTGTTTCCTCCTTTGTAAAATGAAGCAGTTGAGCTAAAAGAATTTTAAGGTCTATTCCTGTTTTAAGTCCCAGAGGGATGGGATGTATTACCCAAGATCACACATCGAGTTGGTCCAGGCTACTGTCTCGTTGGGGTCTGCATGGCTTCCCCAAGGCTAGTGTGAAGGCACGCAGCTCCCAGGGCATGGAGACAGGAAGTGCCGGTGCCAGGAGGAAGGAGAAAGGCACAGAGAGACCACCCCCGTGCACTGGAGCACTTTGCCAAAGGCTACCCCTGGGTTGCCTTGTTCCCAGCTCAGGCATCTAGCCAAAGGCTCCTGCTGATCGCAGCCTTTGTGGGGCTGGGGAAAGAAGCCTGGGCTGAGCCCTGGCTCTGTCACTTATTAGCTGAGTGACCTTGGGCACACGGCTTCACTTCTCTGGGCTTCTTCTTCCTCTTTTATATAATGGCCACGGATCCAACTAAGCTGAAGTGAAGGGTTGAGATCTTGGTGTCCGAGGATCAGTGGAAAGAATTGGGGATGTTTAGCTAGGAGAAAAGAAGGCTTGAGATGGACATGAGAGTGGGCTGCAGGTATCTGAAGGATTATCGTGTTGAATTCTCTAAGCATTTATTCAGCACCTACTATATACACTAGTAGGCTCTGTCTTTTCACGTCATTGGTATCACCAATACAATAAACTGTCCTTGGGACACTTACATTCTCCTGGGGGATACAACAGGTAAACAGGTAAGAAAATTTAAGGAGGGAGAGACCTTTAATAGCTCAACTTCTCTTGTTTGTCACCCAAAGGCTGTACAGGGGCCAGACACTGAAGTTGCAAGGAGGCAGTTGAAGCTTGGATGTCACGAGCTTGAAGTTTTCCAAAAGGGAAGTAGGCTGCCTGGGAAGGGAGTGGCTTCCTGTTCATCCCAGGTCTGCCTGAGGCTGGATAGCTTGTTATAAGAGATACTGCAGAGGACATACCTGTTCAGGTGTGGGTTAGACTCTAGGGCCCGTTCCTGTGATTCTGTAGTGACCTCCCTGTCCCTGGAAGTATGCAAGCAGAGACTGGATGACTTCTTTTCTGGGGATGCTGTAGACGCTGTGCCTGCACTGGTGAGAGGTTGGACAGATTGACCTCTAAGGTACTGGGATTATGTGGGCCTATGAGGTCGCATCTGGGCTGGGTATTGACCACTGGGAAGGATGTCAGCAGGACTAAAAAGGAGAGTGGATTAGAGAGATACACACAGCAAGGCACAGCAAGGCTGGAAAGTATGCACAAATAAGCACGGGGTCCAGTTTGGGTGGAAGCAAAGGGCACCTATGGGCCATGTGAAATCAAGCCAGAATGGCAGTGTGGAAGCTGGCTGGGGACACCCTTCAGTGCCCTGCAGGCTAGATAGTTTGTGTTTCCTTGGTGGCAATGGGGAGCCAATGAAGGTTTTTTTTTTTTTTAGCAGAGTTGAGGGGTAATCAGATCTGTGCTTTAGAAAGCTTATTTTGGCAGCTGCGTGCAAGGTGGGTGCAAGCAGGGAAACCAGGGAGGAAGCTATTGAAATAGTTAAGGCAAGAGGTGATTGGGACGTGAAAGGGAGGAGGGACAGCATGAGGAGAGGAATGCGATCATATCATGAAGGGAAGCAGGCTTTTCCAACTCTTTGGATGTGGCAGCCTAAAGAGTGGCAGAAGTCCAAAAGGACCCCAAGACTTTGAGCTTGGGTGACCCTGGAAGGGAGTGCGGATACTGAGAGTCATGAACCAAAGATCTCTGGACTTGAAGTCAGAAAGGACCTTGGTTCAAGTCCCACCTCTTTTGGGAAGACCCTGGGCAATTCCCCTGTAAAATGGGAACAATAATAACACTCGCACTGTGTCCTTCCCTCCCAGTATTATTGGCACTGAGATGAGATGGTGCTGTAAAATCCTTTACAAGCTATAAATTCTAGAAACAGAAACGTTATTTTTCTAGGACTTGCAAGTTTACAAAGTGTTTTCCTCCCAACCAGCTCTGAGCTAGGGAGTGATTGAAAGGGTTATTATTCCCTTTTCATAGATGAGGAAACTGAGGGGTTGCAGGACTGGAGAAAGGTCATCCAGCTTGTCAGTGTCGGGGCTAGAAGTCAGAGCAACCTGCAGCACCTCCATCCAACACTGAGCCTTGCTCTTGTCTGCCTCGTGGGGGAAGAGGGGAACTCAGACATCGAGAATAACAGGTGGGAAAGGGCTTAGAGGAGCCAAGGTGGGGTGGGGTGTCTGCAGATGCAATGGATTATCTCTCACATGGGGGCAGCAGCCCCACACAGAGCTGTCCAGCTCCTTTCTGGCCAAGGCAAGCGGTCACTAGGGACTCTCCTTGTCATAATCTCTCCTCCCTGGAATAATCAGACTAAGATTTTCCCACAATGCATTCTGTTGCCCAAGGGCGTCCATCAACCTGGAGGGATGTGGCTTGCGAAGCCACTGGGTGAGAAAAGAAAGAGATATGGAGACTATAAGGCGAGATGAGGTTTGGCAGGCATGGGGAAGGGCATAGAAGATAAGGGGGAATTGGGGTGGGGGAGGCAGTCACACAAGTGCCTGGAAGCAGCCTAGAAAGGTCAGTCTTCCTTCCCACAAGAGGCTGGCTAGTTTCCCAGAACATCAGACTACTCGGCTAAGTTGAACAGTAGGAAGGGAAGGGGACTACCCATATAACCTTGAGGAAGTCACTCACTCTCTGACCCTCAGTTTCCTTACCTGTAAAATGATGGGGGTGGACCAGATGGCTTCTAAATAAATCTTGTTATTTCTGGTCTATGTGTGTGCTGGGGACACAGTGCAGTGAGTTCCCCAACACTGGAGGTTTCTTTCAAAGGAGTCCTTTGGCCATTTGTTGGGGATGGTGTAAATTAGAAGACATTCCTCTACAGGTGGGGACTGGGCTCAACATTTTTATAGAGCTTTAAGGGGAGCAGATGCTTTCTGTGTATTAGCAAATGGCCTCTGAGGTCCCTCTTGGCTGGGAGATCACAGCTCCTTCCCTGCATATCGGGAGCAGGCCACCTTCTCCTCGTCTCCACCTAAGTGCCCATATTTTGCTCCCTTGCCCAGTTGCTCTGTCTGCTAAATCCCATTTCCTTTGTTTGCCTTCTGACTGCAGGATGAAGATGAGACGTCATAAACTCTTTCTGACTCTGTGTATGGCTGGCCTCTGCCTCATCTCCTTCCTACACTTCCTTAAAGCCTTGTCCTATGTCACCTTCCCCCGGGAACTGGCCTCCCTCAGCCCCAACCTGGTAGCCAACTTCCTGTGGAACAATGCCCCTATCACACCTGAAGCCAGCCCGGAGCCTGGGGGAGCCACGGGCCCTGAGCTGCTCCGAACTCCACTCTATTCTCACTCACCCCTGCTCCAGCCCCTGCCCCCGATGGGGGCCACTGAGGAACTCCATCGGCTGGAATTTGTGCTGCCTGAGGACAAAGCAGAGTATTTTGTCCGCACCAAAGCTGGCGGGGTCTGCTTCAAGCCAGGTACCAAGATGTTGGAGAAGCCCACAGTGGGACAGCCAGAGGAGACACTTGAGGCTGGAGACAGCTCTGTCTCTGGGGGCACAGCCCGCCGCCCACTGACAATCGGAAACTGGCTGGCTTCGGGGAAATCCAAGGGGATGAAACGTCGGAAGTGGGTGGAATGTGTGTGTCAGCCCGGCTGGCACGGGCCAAGCTGTGGGGTGCCCACCGTGGTGCAGTACTCAAACCTGCCCACCAAGGAGCGCCTGGTGCCCCGGGAGACGCCACGACGGGTCATCAACGCCATCAATGTCAACCACGAGTTTGACCTGCTGGACGTGCGATTCCATGAGTTGGGGGATGTGGTCGATGCCTTTGTGGTCTGTGAGTCCAACTTCACTGCCTATGGAGAACCTCGGCCACTCAAGTTCCGAGAGATGCTTCGGAACGGTAGCTTCGAGTACATCCGCCACAAGGTTCTCTATGTCTTCTTGGACCACTTTCCACCAGGGGGCCGCCAAGACGGATGGATCGCCGATGACTATCTGCGGACCTTCCTGACCCAGGATGGCATATCCCGCCTACGCAACCTTCGCCCAGATGACGTCTTCATCATCGATGACGCGGATGAGATTCCTGCCCGGGACGGTGTCCTCTTCCTTAAGCTCTACGATGGCTGGACCGAGCCCTTCGCTTTCCACATGCGCAAATCACTCTATGGTTTCTTTTGGAAGCAACCTGGCACCTTGGAAGTGGTGTCGGGCTGCACAATAGACATGCTGTTGACCGTCTATGGCACAGATGGGATCCTCCTGAGAAGACGACAGTACTACACCATGCCGGGCTTCCGTCAGTACGAGAACCGCACGGGCCACATCCTCGTCCAGTGGTCCTTGGGCAGCCCGCTCCACTTTGCAGGCTGGCACTGCTCCTGGTGTTTCACCCCTGAGGGCATCTACTTCAAGATGGTGTCAGCCCAGAACGGTGACTTCCCCCGCTGGGGTGACTATGAAGACAAGCGGGACCTTAACTACATAAGGGAGCTGATCCGTACAGGTGGCTGGTTTGATGGCACTAGGCAGGTGTACCCTCCCGCTGACCCCAGCGAACACATGTATGCCCCCAAGTACCTGCTGAGAAACTACCCAAGATTCCACTACCTGCTGGACAATCCCTACCGTCAAGCTGAGGGGACTGTGGGTGCAAAGGATAGCATGAAGGGCATCGATGGTGGTGGAGCTGGGCCTGAAGGAGTCGCAGCCAGGGCAGCACAGGCAGGGGAGATCTGATGACATCACAAGGCTCCATGATTTTCACTGGGGGGAGGTCCAGGGAAGGGAAGGGGGAGAGGGCATTAGGATGGTGCAGTTGGCTTCTGAGGCTAATTGCTCTCCTCCTCTCTCCCTTCTCCAAGAGGGAGCCCCGCATGATCAGAACTTAGGAAGAGGGGCAGGGGGTGAGGGGACCTTAGACCTCAGGATGTCCCCAGTACTAACCCCAGGTGAGCCCACAGATCTTCTTCTTGGAGTCTATGCCCTTGGGTATCTTTTCATTTCTTTCTCTGTCTTGCACATAGAGCTTTTTCCCAGGGGATGGAGGGAAGTCAATTTTTCTGTTTGCAGCTCCATGCCCTCATCCTCCAACCACATTTTGTGGCCATGGCAAGGCAGGTATAGGGACCAGCAGGGAGAGAAGGGGCTGGATACAGGGTGATGGATAGGCAGGAAGGGAGCGTAGGGTATGCATGTGGACAGCTGACCTGGAATGGCTTTTTACACCCACAATGAATCACCCATCAAGACAGATGTCTAGAAAGTATGAGTGGCCAGCCCTTGGTTCCCCCTGGGAAACCAGCTTTGGGCTGTGGTCAATAAGAGGAAGGAGAAGAAAAGACCAGATGCTCTAGAAATACAGTGGGGACCAGGGAAGGGAGGGAAACTTGGGATAGGGGTATGAAAAGGGAGTAGGGGTGGGGGGTGGCAGAGATGTATAATTCCACTAGAAATTAACAGAGGGAGAGAAGAGCTCTAGTCCAGTGACCACTCCACAGATCATCCCACTCTATATTCCAAAGGAGCAGTGGGCAGGGTTATATGGAACTGTAGAGGAGAGGAGACAGAGCTCAGGGCTCATTGCTCATCCCTAGAGCCTGTTGGAGAGATCTTGGGAAGCCCCCATCTCCTGAACCTCAGCCCTATTGTGCCCTTTTAGCCTTACTTATTCAGTGGTCCACTTTGGGATGGGCAGATGGAGTGACCCTTAGGAAATCAGGGGATCCTATCACCCATCTGTTTCTTGGAGAACTGCATAGGGTCAGGTAGGAACTGGGAGCAGGGTGTTGGGGTGGATGCTGCGAGATCCCCCTTTCCCTTAACCTGGGGAGGGCCAAATAGAAACACTATCCTACATACAGCAGGGCCCTGTCTCTCCTGCCGATCCCCCAACATCAGAGCCTTCTCTGAGAGAGTGGACAATGGGAATCTGCTTCCCTCACTTTCCATCACCCTCTCCCCATCCCATCCAACCCTGTTGCTTGTAAACACTTTCTGGTCTTTTTTTTTTTTTTTAAACCAGAAATTAGGACTATTCCAGTCCCTCAGCTCTGTGCAGTCTGGCCAGTCTCTTCTCTGGAGCTCCATTTCCTCATCTGCTAAATGAGGGGTTGGACAAATCCCTTCCAGCTCTAGCATGCCATGTCTGACATCCTAAATATTAGTTGGAGGGTGGGCCTTGCCATACCTGTCTTGGACTCCTGAAGGGTGGTCATCTGGAAGACAGATTTTACTTATGCTGGCTTGGTCCCAGGGGCCAGTGAAGGGAAGTGGCCAAGAGGCAGGTTTAGGCTTCCCAGATTGAGAATGGAAAGGGACATTCAAGACTGTCTTGTCCAGGACTGTCCTGGACTCCGTGGGCTGTCAATCTGATGAAGCCAATGGACCCTTCTCAGAATCATGTTCTTCAATGCATAAAATAAAATACATAGGATTGCAAAGGAAGTGAATTATATGGAAATGCTATTACCAAAAGATTTTGTTTAAGTTCATGGACCCCAAGTTTAAGAACCAATCCAACCGTTCTCATTGTATAGATGAAAAAAATTGGGACCCAGATACCTTGAGTAACCTTCCAAGGTAGCCCAGGAAGCTAGTAGCAGAACTGAGAGCTGCTGCCTCTAGATGCCATGCTCTGTCCACTGTAGCCCCAGACTTCGAAATTAGAACTAGCCCAGAATGGAATGGGCTGCCCCTCACATTGCCTCCATCTCCCAGCAAAAGCCACTATGTTGGGAGAGAGATTCTTCGTTAGCTGTGGTGGCCAATGATCTCGCTGACCACTGAAGTTCCATAAGATTCAGAACTTGGGTGATTCAATGCTTCCCTCTCATCCCTTGAGGACCCCATTCATCCTGTTCTTTCCATACCGCCCCCCACCCTAGTTCTCCCTTCTAAATCCTCTTGGGGATCCCCAAAGTTCATTCTCTGTCCTTCAGATGTACAGTGTGGGGGATAGAGCGGAACAAAGTGCCTCTTAAGGGTGTTGGATTTCTAACCCCCAGTGGGTGGGTGGGGAATGAGGGCAGAAGCCAGGCAGGAGGCTCCAGGCTGGGAAGAGGGAAGAATGAAACCTTTCCAATCATCCAGACTCCTTTCATTCCAGGCAAGCCCAACCTCCAACCCAAGCTTTCCAGCTGGGGCTAAATCACTCTCTCTGTTGGGGGAGAGCCTGGGAAAGTGTCTTCTCTATTCCTGAGATAAAAACCAGCCTTTCTCCTCCCTAACCTCGCACCACCCCCATCTCACCCCCACTCCAATCGAGTTTGTGTTTGTACGTATGAGTAGATGGCAATGTGAGCACACCAGCTCTGCTCCTAGTAAGCCTTCCATGAATGTGTCTGAATATGCATGTGTGTTTACTTGTGTGTGTATAGGACCCTAAATTTAGGGCTGGAAAAGACCTCACTCGCCATGGAGTCCATGCCCCTAATTTTGTAGAGGAGGAGGAAACACCCACATCTCAATCTGCTGTTGGGTGTGCCAGGCACATCGTCTTCATTTTACAGATGAGGAAACTGAGGCAGCTAGTGGTTTAGCGACTTGTCCACGGTCCACAGTATGTGAGTTAGGATTTGAACCTGGGTCTTCCTGACATCAGCTCTGGCACACTCTCCAATCACTGTGCTCAGCCCGGCTATCGTCACGTGTCAGTGGGTGTGCATAGGAGAGCGTGTGTATGTGTCTCTCTCTAGGCTGGTCTAGTAGACAGGGCCTTGGTCTGGGAGTCAGAGACCCAGAGTCTAGGCCAAGCTCCGTCGTCCTGGGGTCCCCTGGGACAAGTCTCTTTCTGGGCCTGTCTCTTCTTCCGTCAAACACAAGGGTCAGATGCAGATCGATCCATCAACTCTCACCTGTGCCAGGTGCGAGAGATCCAAAAGGGCTTTCCCTCACCAAGCTTACATTCTATAGATTCTGTACAAACATAAACATTCTATAGAAAAAGGTCCCTGAGGCTGGGGCGTCCTGGGAGAGAGAATGAGCAGCGGGTTTTTGTCCCAAACTTTCTCGTGGGTCTCTATCACGTTGTTCCTTCAGGTCATGGCCTCTCTCCCTCCCCCACATCCGTTGTAAACTCCTTCTCCCGGTGTCTTCTCTCCCCCAGCACTCATCAGTGTACAGTGCAGAGTCTCATGGACTTGAAGCCAGGCTTAGAATCCTCACGTGGGGGCAAACCACCTCCCCTCTCTCTGCCTCAGTTTCCTCCCCTGTAAAGGAGGGGTCTGGTCCCTTCCAGCCCCAGATCTAGGATCCTGCTGTTCCCTTCTGCTCATTTGTCCTGTGCCCCTCCCTTCCTTTACCATTCTCTGCCCAGCTCCCCAGCCTTCAGCTGAGACTTGGCTTTTGGCCTCATGCCCCCTCCTGGGAGAGCAGCATGGTAAGAAGTGGGAAGACCCTGGATTGGGAGTCAGAGGGCCTGGGTCGAATCTTCGCTTTACCACTTCTAACCTCTGTGTCCGGGCAAGTCACTGAGCCTCTCTGGGACTCAGTGTATAATTTTCTGTAAAATGAGAGTTGGAATGGCCACCCTAGAAGGGCCCTTCCAACTCAAAATCTATCACCCCATGGCAGCGGGGGTTGGAGGAGCTGGGTCCAGTCCTACAATCATTACCCCTGCCTCCCACTTACCCCTTTACTTTACCCCCACCCCAGGCTGCTGGGGGTGGGGTGTAGGAAGGTCTTGTATGCTACTGTCATTCCTACTGGGAAAGCTCCTGATGGAACCTCGACCCTGGCCTCTTGAATCTGAGCCCTGAGTCCACTTACTACGGAAGAAAGGGCGAGGGTAGGGGTAGAGGGGGATTTGAATTCTCTGTTACCCCCCTCCCCCAGGGTGTGGCTAGCTTCCATCCCCGAGAAGGGGCTGCTTCTCATTTAGATAAGTAAAGTCAGCCAAGCTGCTTGAAAAGCAAGTAAGCATCTCTGCTTGGTGGACTCTGGGGATCCCTAGACAATGGAGAAAGTCTGCCCTCCAGGAGTTCTCATTCAAACTTTCATCTCCTATTTGAGGGGATTAGGCTAGGTGACCTGCCTCCAACATCTTTTCCTGCTCTAAATCCCATGATTTCAGGCTCATGTGCAAAGTAGGCCTTGGGGAACGGTGCACCCATCCTGGCATGAGTCTGGCTCCCTCCCAATTTTAGAGCCCCGTTCCCCTTCTTTGGGTTACTCCCAACATACACCCCCAGCTGCTACCACGCCCACCCTCCTGGGGGATTGGAGCTGCCCTGGTGAGGGATCCTGGTTTTAAAATACACTAGTTGGAGGAGCTCTCCCTGCCCCCTGGGTTTCTGTTCAGAGCTCCCCACCCCCACCTCCCCTCCTAGAGATGGGGACTCTGAGGGGAGAGAGGACACTGGAGGTGGAGAGTGGGGGAGATGGACAGTCACCTGCAATACGCACACACTGAGGACTGGGAAGAGAATTCCTTCTCCCTACCCCCAAACAATCTGAAGGGAAGTCACACTGTTGAATTAAAGCCACTGGGCCCTCCCCATTCCCCAGTGACTTGGTCAATCCCCTCCTGTCCTCCTGAGGGGACAGAGTGCAAGGGACCCCTGGAGTGGCGGGAGGAGGAGAGGGAGCTGAGCCCTGGAAACTGTAATTTAAGGACACCAATAATAATGATGATGATGGTAATAATAGTAATATTTTTTTTTGTAAGGACGAATCCAAATGTACACTCTGAAATCATTTTCTCTGTAAATGGTTGGATTTCATTTCACCCTTAAAGGGATGTTTAAAGGAGAAGATAATATTAATAATAAAAAAACCAGAGCTACAAAGCCTGAAAAGGAGTGAGTTTTATGTGTGTGTTTTGGGGAGGGGGCTGGGATTTCTGATTATATGAGGTGGGGAGAGACTGGAGGCCTAGGGGCCTTAGGTGTGGTTGCTCTGATACTTTTGTGACTTTGGGCAAATCAGACCCGGTGTGGACCTCAGTTTTCTTTTCTGTGAAATAGGGATAATCCGAGTTGTAACCAGCTGGAGGTGAATGAAAGTTCGGCCCAGGCAAGTTACCTGGCAAGTGTGTGAAGTCAGACTATCCACACCCTTACCGCTGGCAAGAGCACACCAGGGCTGAATTGTTTCCTGCAGTCCTGACACTGAAACCCGTCTTCCCCAAGTGACACTATTCCCAGAAACCTGCCAGGGGATTAAGCTTCCCCCTCCCCCCCTCCCAGGGGTATTGTAAGGATTGAATGAAGTGACGCCTTTCATTTCCTCATTAGAGCTGGAAGGGTTCTCAGAGACCATTTAGTCTGCCCCCATTTTACAGAGAGGGAAAACAGAGGTCTAAGGAAGTTTGGTGTCTTGCCCAAAGTCAGTAACCTGGTAAGTGAGAGAGACAGGATTCAAACTCAGGTCCCGTGACTCCCAAGGTTAGTACTCTCTACATGGCATTCTGACTCCTGAAATAATCTATCGGCCACTCTAGGAGGACAGGTGCTTTGAGATCCCTTTTACACATCTGCTGTTCCTCTCTCCGTGAGATTTCAAGCTCTTTGTCAGACTGATTTCAGTGAACCAACTTTGCCTGCGGGTAAATGAAGACCACCACAGAATTATCACTCACCTTTCAAATCAATTATTGAAACTCTGAGGAAAAACAAAAAGAAAAGAAACCTCAGTGAGGGCTTCCTGACCAGCTACTCTTGAGGCTCAGTTTTCCCAGCTGTTCAACGGAAAGGATAATAGTTGCCCTGTCATCCCTGGAAGGCAATGAGGAAAGCAATTTGGACACCTGGAAGAGCTGTGTCCTTGAAGGGGTCAGCCCGTCTGGCCCCGTTCGATGTCTCTGTCTACTTCTCCCCTTCCTCACCCCCAATCCCATGGTTGACCCATTCTCTGAGCAGAAAAGAAAACTGAGGCCCAAAGAATTTTCAGCTTGTCGGGGTCACATAGCCGGGAGATATCAGCCGGGTCTCCTGACTCCATATTCTAGCTGGAAACACATGCAGCCCTATCTATGTGTCTAACACCTATGGGACTCTGTTCACATATGCACATGCAGGAGCATCGCCTACAGGGAGCCAGGAGACACCACTCCTTCCTCTCCTTGACAGCTGACCAGTGGGACCCAGGGGCTGGGATTTGAAATTGGCCTCCAACACAGAACTGTCTTCCCGCAGAGCCGGAGTTTAGCCTCTAGAAAGGGAGAGTAGCTTTATTAGGGTGAGCTTGGGACAATGGGTAGAATAGCCCAAGGCAATGGAGACTGTGTGACCTTAGGCAAATGACTTAACCTCTCTGACTTTGTCAAAGGAGAGGGTTGGGAAAGAGTCTCTCTAGAACTCCCTCTCAACTCTGAATACTGTGATCCATGAATAGTGAATAGGAATCTGCTCTACAGCACTCCCAACAGGAGGATCTCCAGCCTCTGCTTCTATGTGTCCACAGAGACCCACCTCCCTGCCTGCTTGTGGAGCTGGTCCTTAGGGAGCCAGTCAGGCAACAGGCATTCTTAAGTACCTCCCGGGTGCCAGGCCTTGTGCTAAGTTCAGGGGGTACAAGGACTTGTTGCTCTCAGACTAATGGACAGGTCAAGGTGCGGCTAACCATATACACTATGTGTGTGTGTATGTGTGTGTGTGTGTGTGTGTGTGTGTGGGTGTGTGTGTATGTATGTGTGTGTGTGAGGCAGAGGAGAGCCAAGGTAGGGCAGCTACATGAGAAAACAGCTGAGAGCTTTCCTTCCATGGAGATTTGCAGTTCATGTCTCTGCCCTCCAATCAGAGAGGCAGAGGGTAGTCATGAGGTATAGTACCAAGGCTGAGTACCATGAAGGTGAAGAGGACCAGATTTGCCAGTGGGATGGATATGTGGGGTGACACTGTGTGTATGTGTGTATGTGTGTGTGTGTGTGTGTGTGGGTGTGTGTGTGTGTGTGTGAAGGATGACACAGACAGAGATTGGGAGCCTTGGTAACTGGGAGGACACTCACATGGGCAGGGCAGGTGCCCAAAGGTGGCTAGTCTTTATCCCCTTAAAGTTCTAGGGGTATCCCTGAGGGCTTGGAGGTTTCTTTTCCAGTATAGCTCATAAGCCCCTACCAGTGTGTTTCCCCCATTAGTGATCAGTGATGTCAACTAGGAAAAGCCACACAGCTGCTAGAAAGGAGTGTTTACTAAATTGGTATTCTGAGGACAACTGGTATAGTGACCTGGCCCCCAAAAGTCTCTGACACACTTCCCCACACAAGTACTTACAGAGTCCAGGGGAAAGTGGATTCAAGCTTGGAGAGCCCCTGTGGTTAAGTGGTGACTCAGAGTTCCTAGGCCTTGGTTTGGTGTCCCCAAAATGTTCCCTTTAGGGTTGATGTCACCTTTTCTTCTGGGCTCTTTGTAGAGCCTGGAATCTGCATCAGGTCTGCCCTTAGCTCCCAATTCATACAGTATATTTGCTGTTCCAGGAGTGTTGCTAGGAAGCCAATGGGAAGATGGGAAGTCCCAAATCCTCCAGATCCTTTGAAGTTTAGGGGATCTTCCTTCAGCCAAAGAGAGGGAGGGTCCTGAGACAAGTCCAAGTCTTTGCCTATTCTCCAAGAGTTTCTTTCTGAGGGATTTGTTGCAATGTTCTAGCCTGGCTCCCAGCTGCCCTGAATTTTCCCTTCCAACCAACTTCATGGCTTTCAGGCCCCAGAAGGCATCAGCAAGTCCCTCAGCCAATCCAAACCCATGTTTGCCTAGTGAAGAATCCTATGTTCTCACCTGATAAACATATCTGGGCTAAGCTTGGAAATGCAGTCCCACCTGATAAATGTATCAGGGTTAAGTGATAGATAAAGTGCGACTGGATCCAATTTCATTGTTAAGGGAACTCCCAAGTCAGGAAACTCCCTTTTCCCACTACGCTCAGCCCTTGCCAAGAATACCAAGAGGATAAGTGATTTGCCTAAGGTTACCCAACCAATATGTGCAGAGCCTGGACTTGAACCCAGGTCTTTGTAGATCCAAGGCTAGCTCTTTATCCCCCGTGCCCTGATGCTCTGAAATTCTGGGGCATCTCTAATGACCTAAGTTTTATTATGAAAAAATGAAAATATGCACATTAACCAGCAGAGGGCATTGGTGCCTCATTCTTGATAGTAGCTGTGACTTGACAGCACCTGGCTGAGATGACCTAGAGAGATGGGATGGCCATTTTCCCCTGGAGGAGACTGGTAAGGGACCTGAGAGAGAGAGGAGGAAAGGATGCTGAATGGAAGGGAGACAGAAGTGCTGTCCGTGCTCCCGGTATTTTCAGAATCAGAATGAAAATCAGGCTGCATGCAATAGACAGGATCAAAGATCCCGTCCTGCCCATTTCTGCACTGGGACGCCGTATTGGATATCAGAGTCTTCATGACCTCAAATGCCAGGGTATGCTGGAGCCATTGTTCATGAGAGCCGGTTGTGAAATTTTCAGGGTGAGCATTTATACCTGAGAAATCAGCAAAGGCCACAGTTAAGATCTTGATTTACTGTTTTGTTGATTTCTAGACTTCAGAATGTGTTAGAGAATGTTAATTAATAATGCAGATTAAACTTAAAAATGGTTGTGCCTGCACATACCCCTACCATCACCTCTACCCCCCCCCCCCCCCCCCCCCCCCAAAGATCTGGTTGTTAAACATTTACCATCACAGCACTGCCTCAAAGGGAGCTAAGCTAGGGAGATCCTATTTTTCTAAATAATAAAATTCACATAACAATAGTCTACAACCACATAGAGCTTTAGCATTCCAGAGCACTTTTTTTTTTTGCTTTTTTTGGTGACGCAATCTGGGTTAAGTGACTTGCCCAGGGTCACACAGCTAGTAAGTGTCGTGTGTGTGAGAGTGGATTTGAACTTGGGTCCTCCTGACTCCAAGGCAGGAGCTCTACCCACTGCACCACCTAGCTGCCCCTCCAGAGCACTTTCAAATCCAATGTTTAATCCAGTTCTCATAATTTACAGATGAAAAAACAGGCCCAGAAAATGAAAGTGAATTGGTGAAACCGCAAATGGTAGTGTATGAATTGAGAGCTAAGGGCAGATCTGATGCAGATTCCAGGTTCTACAAAGAGCCCAGAAGAAAAAGTGGCATCAGCCCTAAAGGGAACATTTTGGGGACACCAAACCAAGGCCTAGGAACTCTGAGTCACCACTTAACCACAGGGGCTCTCCAAGCTTGAATCCACTTTCCCCTGGACTCTGTAAGTACTTGTGTGGGGAAGTGTGTCAGAGACTTTTGGGGGCCAGGTCACTATACCAGTTGTCCTCAGAATACCAATTTAGTAAACACTCCTTTCTAGCAGCTGTGTGGCTTTTCCTAGTTGACATCACTGATCACTAATGGGGGAAACACACTGGTAGGGGCTTATGAGCTATACTGGAAAAGAAACCTCCAAGCCCTCAGGGATACCCCTAGAACTTTAAGGGGATAAAGACTAGCCACCTTTGGGCACCTGCCCTGCCCATGTGAGTGTCCTCCCAGTTACCAAGGCTCCCAATCTCTGTCTGTGTCATCCTTCACACACACACACCCACACACACACACACACACACATACACACATACACACAGTGTCACCCCACATATCCATCCCACTGGCAAATCTGGTCCTCTTCACCTTCATGGTACTCAGCCTTGGTACTATACCTCATGACTACCCTCTGCCTCTCTGATTGGAGGGCAGAGACATGAACTGCAAATCTCCATGGAAGGAAAGCTCTCAGCTGTTTTCTCATGTAGCTGCCCTACCTTGGCTCTCCTCTGCCTCACACACACACATACACACACACACACCCACCCACACACACAC